TTTCAGTTTCGAGCTCCGCCTTCGGGTATCTCTACTACCCTGTGGTGACCTTGTTTTGAGATCTAGAGTCAGGAATGTAAATGGAAAACCATTTGGCTTCTCATTTGCCTATCACACTCACTTGGTGGTTTCAGACATAAGGTAGCTTGAGAGTGTGTTGATCTCCATGTATTTCTCTGCTTGTTAGTTCAGGTTCTTATATATGTTACAAATTTTAATTTCATTGAAGCGAGGTGAGAATCGAAGGCCTGGAAACGCTCGACTTCTTGGACAATCTATGTCAAAAGGAGCGGTTTACCGAACAAGGAGATGCCATAACCTTTGAATCTGAGGTGATTTCTGTATTTCTAGTTCTCAAGTGACGCTCGGCTTCTGGTTTCATTGTCTTTTGTAAAGTAATGCTTGATTTCTTCGATTGGCAGGTGGATCGAGTATATGTGAGCACTCCGAACGCAATCGCTGTACTTGATCACGAGAGGAAGCGGACTTACGTGATAAGAAAGGAAGGATTACCTGACGTTGGTAAGATTTAGAATGTGTGATTGATGCATAATTAGGTGGTGGGGCTTAGGCTTACTGTGTTTCTGTTTGTGTATGAAAGTTGTTTGGAATCCATGGGAGAAGAAGTCGAAAGCAATGGTGGATTTCGGCGATGAAGAATACAAACAGATGCTCTGCGTGAACGGAGCAGCGTTAGAGAGTCCGATCATGTTGAGGCCGGGAGAGGAATGGACGGGGAAACTGCAACTCACTGTGGTTCCCTCGAGTTTCTCTCTCGACTTGTAGAGGAAATGGATCGAACCGGGACAGGCACAGAAGGGAAGAATGTTATGGTAGAGTGTTAGAAGAAGATGGTGATTTTTTGTTTTTGAGTTTTTAGTGGAATTGAAGAAATTAGGAAGTTGTGGGGTATCCTGCAAGCAACATGGGAAGCCTATGTTTTTAATGAATGGCTCTGCATATCCCCTAACTATCTTCTTGCTTTTTAGAGGAAGAGAAGGGTGAATTTGTTCTTTTGTTCTTTTGTTCTTAGTACCACAAACTCCCTCTTCTGTAATATTTTTATCAACACTTGGTTTCTTTTCAATGAAGATCTTCAACTAAATGGTATGTATAATATAGGATTGGGGCTTTATCGGGACATTATAATGCTTATCAGGATGATCGGTTTGATACACTATAGTGCTAATCGAGAACTCTCGAGTTGTTCTAACTGATGCTTCTTGATATCGGTACAGTGCTAATTGAGAGAACATTCAAGTTGTTATGCTACTACTTGCTCGGACATGCTTATCAAGAACAAAGATTGTGAGATGAGATGCAATGTTGACGAAGTTGCAATTGAGTTAAAATGCATATACATGCAATGTGTATGACTGCACAAAGCTTAGTTTGCATATGAGTTGTGTTTGGTTGGAGAAAGTATAATGAAGTTTGAGCTTCTCTTTGAGGATAACCATGGTCGTATCAAAATCATGGCGTTTACAATTAAAACATGTAATCATGGCGTTTACAATTAAAACATGAGATTCTTAGTCCAAATAGGGCGGTAGGTCAATATGATTGCCAAAAAGTATTACGGATTTGTTAATTTGTTAATTTCATTTAATTATTAAAAATATTCTATTGTTTTCTGCTCTTACTTTAATTTCCATAAATTTGTTGTTTGAAGAGTCATTAAAAAATATACATGAATCAGCAGACAAATATTTTGTAAAAAGTTGATGAAACTTATGCTACAATATGATTCGGCTTTGGGTTTAAAATATGATTTACTTGAACATATATTTTTTGAAATAAAAAAAAAAAAAGTTACTTTTTTACTTCATCTTTCTTTTCTCATCTTCTCCTATAAATTTACTCGGGGTAAATAGTATATTTTTAAATAAATGGTAAAGTTTAAAAATAAAAGTCATTTTTAAGTTGGAATATATCAATAAAATTTATTTCAAAATGTAACAGTATAATTTATTCGATTTTTTTCTTAAATATTTGTTTATTATTATTTAGTGACATGTTTAATTTAATATATATATATATATATATATATATATATATATATATATAATTAAATTTTATATTTAGTAAAATGGTTAAAATTGAAATTATAATTCATTTAGGATTTCAAATGAGTTCATTAAAAAAAAAAAAAAAAGTATATATCTATTTAAATATATTATATGAACTGGCAGCTATGAAGTAGACTGCCGTGTACAGCCAAAGTCCTAGTGGACTCGGCGAATAGGGCATTAAAATAGGACATCTCAGCACGTCTATTACATATTTGGCAAATGATAACACACATCTTTATTCCATAAGCCACGTAATCTTTTTCTATTTTTTAATATTTTTATTTTCATTTATTCCCTTCATGGCCTTCCATTAACATTACGAAATAAAATTGAATTAATTTCAAAATTATAGGATTTGAATATGGTTATTTTAAATAATTATTACTTCAAATGTATAAATATGATAATATGTTATTACCAATTTTGAATTTATGTACAAATTTCCGCCACCGCCGCAAGGCTCCCTCGTCTTCCTCCTCTGTCTCACTCTCCCATTTTCCATTGATTTCTTCTCGTCGGATTATCGGAATTCCGGCAGGTCTCCGGTCACCGACTCGCCTCTGAGGTAGCGATCCACATTACCGATGAGATGAATTTCATTTTATTTTCCCTCTTTCTTTTCCAAGGGAACGAAATTCTCTGTTTCATTTATTTAATGCGATGCGTGTACTTGACTGATTAACTGAATTGATTCTTTATCTCGTTTTGTGCATTGATTTTTAATAGACTGTATTTGAATCAGATTTCCGTAGAGAGTTAGTTGAGTTCGGAGAGTATGGCAGAGCCGCCATTGAAGCCGGTACTCCAGAAGCCTCCGGGGTATAAAGATCCAAATCTCACTGCTCCGCCAGTGCCTAGACCACCGGCGAGGAAACTGATTCTACCGTCGTCGCTAAGTCAGAATAACAAGAAGCGACGGAGCTGCTGCCGGAGATTCTGTTGCTTCCTCTGCCTTTTTGTTCTGATCCTGATCGTCGTGATTGTCGCCGTCGGTGGCTTTTTATACCTCTGGTTTGAGCCAAAACTTCCTGTGTTTCATCTCCAATCATTCCGGATCTCCAAATTCAACGTCACCGACAAAGCGGACGGCTCGTATTTAAACGCCAAAACAATCGGTCGCATTGAAATCAAGAATCCTAATGAGAAGTTATCACTAAATTACCGCGATATCGAGGTCGTTACCGCCGCCGGAGAAGGTACTCGAATTGAATTAGGATCAACAATCGTGCCGAGCTTTATTCAATCGAAGGAGAACACGACGAGTTGGAAGATCGAAACAATGGTCAGCAACGAAATCGTCGACGGCGGAGCGGGGCGGAAGCTGAACTCCGGCAACAGAACCGGAGAGCTAATGATGATCGTCGAAGCACGTACGAAAATCGGATTCGTGGTGAATGGGAGGAGAATGCCGCGGGTGAAGATCGAAGTGGCGTGCGGTGGCGTGAGGTTGAAACGTCTCGACGGAGGCAACACGCCGAAATGCTCCATTCATTTGCCCAGATGGTTTCTGTAGCCATAAGAGAAGGGAAAAAGAAAAAACAAAAAATCTTAAAATCAAATCAATTTGAGATGGTAATTACAGTGTGATTAAACTTCATGAACACAGAAAAGCTCATGCGATTTGCTACCCATCATAGAAAACAAAATAGGTATGCTTTTAGCCTCAATTTTTGGTAACATTTTGATTTGATATCTGATTCTGAAAAATGTATTGATTATGATAATCTTTTTTAGTTTATGCTCGTGATTTAACAAAAATGAAATTAATTCCTTTTTCTTTCCTTTCATAAATTACAATTAATTATGGACTCGGTACACACCACTGTTAGATGAATATGACTTTCCACAATTGTATGATATTATCTACTTTGAGCATAATGAGCTCTAGTAACTTTACTTTGGGATTCGAAAGGTCTCGTATTACTTGATTATAAACTCATGATCATTTCCTCAATTAACGTCGGACTTTCATCCAACAAAAATTACAATAAAAAATATCGAATTTTCTCCTCGTTCATGTTCCACGTTAGCCACCATTCAAACCAACTTCTTAAAATATAGTAGTTTGAATTTCAATGTAATATTAAAAATAAAAAATTTAATAAATTAATTATGAATTAGTTTTTTTTTGTTTGTTTTTAAAGTTTATTTAGTTGATGTGTTACTCTAATAAAGGGGCAATTATTTTAAAGTTAGATGAGACCACTTTTATGGTTTTTTTGTTGGGTGTTAAAATATCTGTTTTGGTGGGATGTATTTATTTAATATTTAATTTTTTACTCTTTTGTAGCTTAATTTTTTAGTTAGGTGACTTTTCTTCTTCTTTTAATTATAGCTTTATAATTAATACTTTTTAATTAGAAATATAATGTAAAATTTTGAAGATTATTACTTAACCAACAATATATATTCTTAAATCGAATAAATATGAGCTAAATTTTTAAACTTCAGAATTAAATAGTAGGAAATAGTATTTTACTATTATGCCCTTATAATTTATAGGAAATTATACTAATGATTATAACATATTTTAACATCCAATAAAAATGTAAATTTATACTCTTAAAATTTTGATACTTAATTCATTAAAATCTCAAATCCTAAAACTTCTATAATGGAATAAATTTAGTCTCGTAGGTATTTCATTCAATTTAATCACTCCATTTTTATTATAGTTTTGATTATTTTTTTTAGAGTAATAATTTTATTTAAATAATTTGCATTGATTTTAATATAATCCAATGAAAATAATTAATTCACTTTCATTTATAAGACTTTCCATATAAATTTATATTTGTCCAAAGTAACGGATTCTGACGTGACCCGGATCCGACTTTCTGCGTTATTGCCAAGTGTTACGTTTTTATAATAATAATAATAATAATAATTATTATTATTATCATTATTATTATTAGTACTTCTAAAAAATGCTGTAATAATCTTGAAAAAAACAAGTGCTGATTCTCCACGTTACGCTTTCGCCAACTAGGTTCGTTGGCGCGTTCATTTCCCTGCATACGACACTTCCACCATTTCCCCCCTCAATTTTGTCATCGGAGAGGCCTCTCGAGGTTTCAGTCCATGGCGTCGAAGCGGATCCTGAAAGAGCTCAAGGATCTCCAGAAAGATCCTCCTACTTCCTGTAGCGCTGGTTCAGTATTCTTTCTACTCTGGTTCCCTTTACTATCTACTATTCTTCACTTTTTAAGGTCGATCTAGTGATTGCGTTCTTACATCGAGCATCGGAGACTTCAAGCAACTTTGTTCTTGGCCTGTTATTTGGAAATTAAGTGGATCCAAATGTTTGTTTGTGGATGGCGTGAAATAGTATCAACTCTGAAATTCAATTATCATGTTCACAATATGCTAACCTTTCCGAAGTCTAGGAAAATCGGTTTTGGACTTCGTACCACTCACTTTCTATCTCAAATTTAGGGTTTAAGTATGGAATTTGGTTTGCGTTGGCTCTTATCAGAGTAATTGATCATATTGTGGAATGGAATTAGGAAATATAGAAACTAAAGGATGCATTATAGTTCGATCTATCGCATATGCTAAGCTTGTTGAAACAAGGCTCTATCGAATAGGAAACTATAGATACCGGTGGATCTGTTTTACTATAGTCTAGTACTCTAAAGCGTCATTCTAAGAATCTTCAAGTTTAAAACCATGTTGATTTAAAATGGAACTAGACTCAGAACGGTGTAATCGCTTAAGATTTAAGTAGGAGATTATAAATCTACGCTCTGTGTTGATGATTAAATTTTTGTCCGAATAAGTAGTCTGCTATTACCAACAAGGTGTTTTATTAAACCTATTTTGTTTTCTCTTCTGGATGGATCAAAATTTCCCTCGAAGTTCATAATTATAAGACAAGATGTTCTGTAACACAGGTCCTGTTGCTGAAGATATGTTTCATTGGCAAGCAACAATTATGGGTCCTCCAGACAGTCCTTATGCAGGAGGCGTTTTTTTAATTACTATTCACTTCCCTCCCGACTATCCATTTAAGCCTCCTAAGGTACGCTGTTAAATCGTACGTATTTGGTTATATTCAATATTTTTAATTCACTAACATTGTAAATTTCTGTAGCCCGTTATTTCTGCTTTTATCATTCAAATAAGTTGTTACTATATGTGGTTTTTGTTTCACTAATTATTCTAGTGGCTACAATATGTGTTTGTTGTCACTGTTTTTAATAATTATTTAATTAATAACTCAACGAAGTCAGAGAAAGAAGCTGTTTACACACTTTTTGATCTAAACAGTTCAGTTGCTATTGCTTAACCCTGTCGATTATTTTTTGAGATTGTTTAGGAAAATAGTTTAATATCTGGTATCTGAAAATTATATTTTGTGACAGATGTATTGACCATACAAAGGCCGCACTTTGAAAACTTAGTATATAAACCACATATCTCATTGGAGGTTTATTGGAAGTTTTCTGCACATTTTTCATGTGATTATGATTTGCATGTTATTTCTGTCAAATGTGCTTACTGCCTATTTTACCATAGTAAGCACCATCTGTAGTTAAATGTAAAAACTTGATTTGGGGGAGATAAGTGTAATGACTTGATTTAGGTGAGACGAGTATGAAAACTTAATTTCAGGAATGTTCCCTTGGTGGATGGAGCGTCCTTGTTCTTGATTTTGTAATGCTAGAGTGTAAACCTTGGGTTTGGCTCTTAATTTCAGGAATTTTATCTGATCTAATTTGGAAACCTTAGGTTCTTTATATGGACCCTAAATCCTATGCATGGTGGGTTGATTACACCTGACAGACTTCAGGGTAGAAATCCTAAGATCTCCGTCTCACTTGAGTGGTGCAATGTGTGCACGGATCTAATTTTGAAGCTGCCGTCCCATTTGTTTTTGTGGTGCCCTTGTCCTTTTGAGCATGTGGAGGTGTATTTTCTTTGATATTTCAGTTTCCAGGTGGTTTTCTGCTGGACATCAAAATTTTATTCTTGTATGAGGAGGTCATCCATTTGAATAAAAGACTAACTATCAAGGTCACCTTTTGGGAGATTTGGCTGGAAAGAAATAGCAGAACCTTTCAAGGGATACATGTGGTTTTCTTAATGCAACGTTGAGATCTTATTAGGAGGGCTTTTGATTGGCTTTTGCTAATTAGAGACTGTTTTTGCTTCCCTCATTGGCTATATTGGGGGAAGAAGTCTCATCTTTCCCTTCTCTTCTGTTTTCCTTCTTCCTTGATAATTTTTTTTCTGTTTTTTGAGCTTGTATTATTATTGCTATGTATCATTAATTATGTGACGTTATATAGGGAGTTTTTTACCTATAACTTTTTACGTTATTTCATTTATTATTTGCTTAGGTTGCTTTCAGGACAAAGGTTTTTCACCCAAACATCAACAGTAATGGTAGTATTTGCCTGGACATCTTGAAAGAGCAATGGAGTCCAGCTTTGACTATATCAAAGGTTTTGACCTCTCGACAATTTTACCATTCAAATCCTAGATTTTTGAATGCCATTATCTTATGCCTCATTTGCACCATGGCTTTTTGGATCAAGTTCTTTGAATTAACTGTGGTCACTATTTACGATTTTGTTACCTAACTAGGGATTCGAGACACTAATCTGATATACTTATCTTAAAGAAGAAAAGTTTTTATTTTTTTTATTTTTATTTTTTACAATTATAATTTGAGTGCTCATATCTGATATACTCATGTACAGTTGTATTAATAATCTTCAATCGTAGTAATATTCAATCCAAATTGTAAATGAAGCAGTCATGATATTAAAATTGTAAATCCAAGAACTCGTTATGTCAAAACACAGCTAAGCTATCAACTTAGGACCAACTACTGAAAAAGTAAGTTGGCAACTATATTTGAAACACAACAAGAGTCTGGAGCATACAAAATGCAGACATACTGCTTTTGCCATCAAAACCTTGGTGGGGAAGGAGAGGATGGGTGACAGCATGATATTCTGGTTAGATTTCAATTTTGTGTGAAGTTCATACTGTAAACTTTTAAGGGTTACTTTTCATTTAAGTAGTGCCATGAGTATCATCAAGTGGCCGCTGTCCAGTGTTGACATGGGGAGACCATAGTATGTTTTTCTGAGATAGTCTATTTCCCTCCGCTAGAAAAAATCCAGACATTTTCTTAAGATGTAGATTGTGTACGGCATCTTATTTTAGAAAATTGAGACCATTTTCTGATCTTCAGCGTCTTTGGTAAGCGTTATTGAGAATAGAGAGTGACTGTCAATCATTTTCCGCATATCAATTTCACTATTTTCCAAGCTTTGATTTATGCCATATGCAGTTTTTAAGTGGTTGGGAAGGGTTCTTGTTTCATATTCAGGTGTTGCTTTCTATTTGCTCCCTTTTGACCGATGCGAACCCAGATGATCCACTAGTGCCAGAAATTGCTCATCTGTACAAGACGGATAGGGCCAAGTATGAGACAACTGCAAGGAGCTGGACTCAAAAATATGCTATGGGCTAGTATGTATTATGGGAAGGGCATGAAGGATGCTGCTGTTAGTTCTTATGTATAAATGAAAGTTTTCTGTACAATCTACTATTGTTGGAGATTGAAACAATTTTATGCTGCCCAATTTAAAATCAACATGATGCTTTAAGCTTGTGTTCAACTAATATATATATCAATTATATGGATTTGGTTTCGTACAGTTCCATGACCTGTGATTCTTAATCCTAGATTTCCAGCTAGCGAAGAAACTATTGCGCATCATGGCTTCTTATGATGGTGGAGGATAAAGGCGGAAAATGGGCCAGCGCGGTTCCAATTGCATTTCCACTCCACTTGACTTCCGAGGGTATGCGATCTTTTCCACTTTCTAATCTCTTTTTTCACCATTCATTTAGTCAACTGCCTTATATTTCTTGCTTGGATCTAGGCATTTTTCCTTAGAAATTGAGAAATTATTTGTACTTTTTTTTGCTGCAAACGTAGAGATGGAACTAGCGGGGTGGGCTGGAGAGTAAGGCTCTACATAACCTAACCTAAGAACATGGGATTTTATGGCTCTCCAATCATTACCTTTTTGGAATTACTTAAACACATTTTTATTACTTGAAAACATTTTTAAGCACTTCCAGAGTTGCCCCAAATACTAGACCCATGGTAATAAAAATCCATATATATTCTTGGATCTAGGATTTATTTTATTGGGACAGAACTTCCATTTAGATGCAAGTTGAGTTCTGTATAGCTGTAGAGATTTTAAGCAATAAAAAAGACACACAAGTTGGAAGAATTTAGGAGAACTTTTTTTTTACTATATAACAAAATATAGTTAAAAATTAAGAAGGGTTTTTATTATTTCAAAATACGTTTTAAGCTTATCCAATCCAAATAGAAATAAGATTCATCCGAAAACATCTTGACATTATCTTGTCTTAGTTGACAATTATGGATGAAATGTCTTCTTTGTTGCACCTACCATTCTTACGTCAATTCATTAAGATCTATCTCTCTCCCCTCTTGTCAATAGAAAGAGATTAAGGGCTGCAATTTGGTTGACAAAGAAAGTGGGACAATTCCTACATCCCATTCCCAAAAAGAAATAAATCATTAAATGTTGTGTTGTCCTTTGGTATCCTCAAGTTGGTTTTGCCATCTCTTCAAACGTAGGTGGACATGAACTACACCTCAGATTTCCCTTTCAGATAATAATTGTCCAAAGCTATTCATATACTTTAAAACTTAAATTCTAAGGCACATAATATCTATCAAAGCTTCATCATTCACCTCGGCAATTCTGCCAACAACAGGGTCGGGTTATTACGTGCATGCTCTCTTTGTTTGGTTTCGGGAGCCTTCACTTCCCAATAATGAGTTTTGGACCATTGCCCAACATTTGTCATCTAATGAGAGAGAGAAAAGGATGTTTGGTTGGTTCCTAGGCTTCTTATATTAAAAGAAATTACTTTTTGGCATATGAGTTTTATTGTCATTGAATTTGTTGTGAAATCCACGTTGGTGGGAGAGGAGAACGAAATATTTTTGTATAAGGGTGTAGAAATCTCTCCATAACATACGCGTTTTAAAAACCTTGAGGGAAGCTTGAAAAAAAAGACTAAAGATCACAATATTTGCTAGTGGTGGATTTAGGTGGTTACAAATGGTATCAGAGCCAGACATCAGACAATGTGCTAGCGAGAATGGTGAGCTCCGAAGGGGAGTGTACACCAGGCGGTGTGCTAGCAAGGACGTAGGGTCCTGAAAGAAGGTGGATTGTGAGATCTCACATCGATTGTAGAGAGAAGCGAGTACCAACGAGGACGTTGGGCCCCGAAAGGGGGTGGATTGTGAGATCTCACATTGATTGGAGAGGGAAACAAAGTATTCCTTATAAGGGTGTGAAAACTTTTTTCTAGTAGACGTGTTTTAAAAATCTTGAGGGAAGCTCGAAAGGGAAAATCCAAAGAGTACCACCTACATACTTTCAATTTTAATTCATCTAGATTCTAGTTGATCCATATTTTCAAAATTTAAATAAAAAAGAAAATCTTTAATACAAATTTATAGCTAATGTAGAGAGGGACCAAAATGCTTACCTTTTAAAGGCAAAGGCATGAGTCCAAATAAATATTTTGAAAATACTACTTTCAGTTTCAGGCTTAAACACTCCAAAGTTGATTCGAAGAGAAGAGAAATAAAAAGAAAAACTTAAACACTCCAAAGTTTATTCGAAGTGAAGAGAAATAAAATAAAAAAATAAAATAAATCCAAGGGTGAAGGAAAGTCACGTGAAGAAGGTGAATTTGTGATCATATCTAATGAGAATGACAGTTCCTTTAATGTCTTGGACTCACATGCCTGGCCTGTTATTTATAATCTGTTAAAAAAAAAAAAAAAAAGGAAAAACCATTTAAATTTAGATAGTGGAGGCATTTTACCTTTTTGACATTCTAACCATTCAAATAACTCTAAGCCAATTCCTTAATGAATATAAGATAAATATTAAACATTATAAAAATAAAGTTGGTTTTATAATGGAAGAGACAATAAAGAAAAAAAAAAAAGAACAAGTAGAAACCTTATTATTATTATGCGTAGGACTTGGGAGCATGAACAAACCAAAAAAATATCTGCTCCCGTTTCATACTCGAAATAAATAAATAAAACGGAGAAAGTGAAAAAAGGGAACGGCCACGTGTCGAAAGCACAACGTTCTGATGGAATATGCGGCGATTCTAATCTTTGAGATTTATACTTAATTAATAGATACTTACCAACTTAAAAACATTTGGTGGAGGAAGTGCAGAGGACAGAAGCGTCGTATAAATCTAGCCCTCTTTGCTTTCCTCTGCTCTGACCTGCTCTGCTCTGACCTGCTCTGCTCTGCTCCGACTCACTCTCAGAACCTTCTCTTCCTCTTTTCACTCTCATTCCCTTTCCTACTACTTCTCTATATTTAGTTCTTTAAAGATCTTATTTCGTTTCCCCCCTTTTTTTTTTTACGAATCTTGAGTTTAAAGTTTAGAGGGCTATGGAATTCCAGTACCCATCAATGGGGCGAGTTTGTTCCGCCGGAATTAAGTTCAGAGAAGTTCGGACCATCACCGACAAACCGGCGCCGGAGACCAAGCTCGTCCGAATTTCCTACACCGACGGCGATGCGACCGATTCGTCCAGTGGTGAAGACGAAGAGCCAATCCTCATCCGCCACGTCAAACGCCACGTGACTGAGATCAGGCTTCTCACTTCCGATTGTTCCAAAAAGCCACTGCCGCCGAAATCGAGAGTTAAGCCGCCGTCGAATTCGGAGAGCCATAGAAAGTTTAGAGGAGTTCGGCGGCGGCCGTGGGGCAAATGGGCAGCGGAGATCAGAGACCCTTTACGTCGAACAAGAGTTTGGCTTGGAACCTACGAGACGGCGGAGGAAGCCGCTGTCGTTTACGACCGTGCTGCCGTCCGCCTTAGAGGTCCCAACGCTTTTACCAATTTCGTCGCCGAAGCTCCCAATTCCAAAACAACTGTTGTCACATATCTCCCTCCACCGCCACCACCGCCGCCGCCGGAAAATCATAGTACGGCAGCGGTGGGAGTTTCCTACAGCAAAGAATCCCGAAATCACTGCTCTCCGACTTCCGTCTTGAGATTAGAAGAACAAAATTGGAGACCCATTGAGCATCTAAGCGAAGAATCAGGATTAGAAGACGAATTCAATTGGTTATATGATTGGAACTCCAACAGTTTCTTGTTCAATCTAAGAAGCCCACAACCGTTATTTTCCGACCAAATGGAACTGGAAATCCCGAAATGGGAAGATTTCGGGGACATTTCGGTGGATTTCGATTCATGTAAATGGGACGTAGAGAATTATTTTCAAGATCCAAGCTTTAGTATCGCATTGACTGACTGACTGACAAATTAGCTGGGATCGTACGAGCAGCTGTGTCTGTGAGAGGTTTTATTTTTGCCATCTTTTTTTTTTTATTTATTTATTAATTTGTTATTATTAGTTTCTAAATTTTTGTGTTCTAAATTACGTTTTATGAGCTTTTATTTTTGGAGTGAATTGTATTGTATGGAAATAGAATAGTGAGATGCCCCTTTATGCAATCCCCCACTCTTTCTAGATTTGAGATATGTTCAATAAATGGGGTAGTAGGTTGGAGTATCTAAATACTTTATTCCTTTTTTTAATTTTGACCAACGAATTATATTTGAAAATTTTGAAAAAATAAAGTAATGGAATTAGGTTAAATTACCAATTTGGACATTTAGCAGCCAACCGTGTTAATTAAGGGTCAGTTTGGAATGACTTTTCAAGTATTTAAAAACATGATTCGAGTAAACTGAACATGTTAGAGACAAAAAGAAATGAAATGAATTCCTTTGGGAAACCATTTGAAAAAGAAAACAGGACCAATGGTTAGGGTAAAAATTAGATGGGAAGTCCTTAGATGTGAAAGGATTTATAGTGGGAGTAGGGTGATAAGATTGTGTGTGCAATTAGGGGGAAATTATTTATATATATCTTCATTTAGAAAGTTGAAAAAGGAGAGAGAGAATAATTGAAGAGGCAATACACATCTGTCACACTTAGCTTTTGAAATAAATGTTATAATGTTGGAAAATAATTTAGCCTTCTAACTGCAGACAACTGGTACGAGGTTTCTTGTGGACCATCACTCCCTTCACCCTTCCTTTTCCATTTTTTTTACACTATATTCTCTCATTTTAGTTCAATTCAATCTTTTTTATTTATTTATTTATTTATTATTTCATGATATAGAATTTGTCGATGAATAGTAATAACAACCCTTTGTGTTGTCGTTATTGTTCGTTTGACATCAGGTTTATGTCTTGTATTTCTATTCGTTATATCTTAAAATATATACGTTAGCTAGAGATAAATATGTGTATTCGTAACTAAGAAAGGTTCTACATGGGAATAATTTGGAAAATCGAGTGGATATCCCTTTATGGTTTGTTATGTGTTTGCTTGGTATAATAAAGGTATGTTTTGTCCCATCGGCTAAAACCATGGAGTCTTTGAGCAACCCTAGTGTAACGGCCTAATCCACCTCTAGCACTCGTTTCCTTTTCTAATCGATGTGGAATTCCCCAATCTATCCTTTTCTGGGTCTAGCGTCCTTGTTGGCACGCCGCCGCCTCGTGTCCATCGCCCTTTGGGGGCTTAGCCTCCTTGCTGGCATATTGCCCCTTGTCTGGCTCTGATATCATTTGTAACGGTCAAAGCCTACCACTAGCAGATATTGCTTTTTTTGGGCTTTCCCTTTCGAGTTTTCCCTCAAAGTTTTTAAAACATGTCTACTAGTGAGATGTTTCCACAGGTAGGGGGAGGTTTCCACACCCTTATAATGAATGCTTCGTTCTTTCGAACCGATGTGGGATCTCACACCTAGACTTAAAAGATAAGAAGTTAACACTTAACTCAACCTTGCAACAATATCAATTGAGCCTTCTTTGACTTGTTTGTTTTAATGAGAATCATACATCGTACATGTAACAACCCAAGTCTTCTGTTAGTGGATATTGTCCTCTTTAGACTTTTCCTTTCGAACTTCCCCTTAAGGTTTTTAAAACATGTCGAATAGGTTTCTAGACCCTTATAAAGAATATTATGTTCCCCTCTCCAACCTACGTAGGATCTCACAATCTACCCTATTCGGAGCCCAGCGTCCTGATTGGTATTTGTTCTCTCTCCAATCGATGTAGGATCTCACAGTAAATCTTGTGTTTAAAGTGCATATAGCAGTCACTGTGAGAGATTAAGGATATGCATTTATGTCGTCTCAATCATAGTATTGTCGATAATGTTCTCGTAATACCCAAAGTGATGGAAGAATCTGGTAACTCTTTATCACAATCGATACGTTAACGAGCGGGTAGGGTGAAAGGGAAACAAAGAGGGCAACATATTAAGGGAACTAGGTTAGGTTGAAGATGAGAAGAGAAAAAAAAAAAGAAGAATAGAAATGAAGGAAAGTGAAAAGAAAGGCGAGAAAAAAGAGGGAGAAGAAAGCATAGGTTGGTGTCGTCTACACAGCACTGATTCTTGCGTGGGTCTGTGGTGGCCTTTTTCTGTCCTACCCTTCCCCTTTTACACCCCATCATCTTTAACCCTCTCCCATCCCAACCCTAACATATTTACTCAATAAAACAGCCAAAATCCTCTATCACCCGTCCTATTCAATAAACTTATTCCACCGAGGTCCCATATTATCGGAGAAAATATCGAGTATCTAAAAAAAACATGTAATGATGGGATTATTATTATGTTTGTTTAAAGCTTATTTCATGATTATTCTTTTCCTCTACCTCTTTTAGATTAGAGAAGGAAAACAAACCATACAAGACCGTAGTTTTAAAGGGTACTGACAAGCATAATTCAACTTATTTGATTTAAGTATATATCTTCGACCAAAAGATGAATTAGTAGTTGAGTTAGAGAAAAGTAGAGTAAACGGGTCGTACCCAATCTCCATTTTTCACTAATTTACATTAATCCTTGTGTATATTTTGCGAGTACCGAAGTGATAGCTGACATAATATTAGTGTGGAGAATTGAGTTGTGACAAAATTGAGAGATCACGTGGGATAGTGGAGAAACATCAGAGGGGGATTTGGGCCTCTATTTGAACTTGCTTAAATGGGCTGGGCCCATCTATTCAATAATTTCCCTCGTACGTTTTTACTGGTGGGCCATAAACACCTGGATACGCAGAAATAATTGCAGTCTAGGCCCAAATGGTTTACTCGTGACGTGGAAAAAAAATTATAAAATTAATTCCAATAACTTTTAATTATTATATATATATATATATGAGTGTGTAATGAATAGCATTATAAAGATAATTGTGAAAATTAGAGAAATTAAAAAAGAAAAAAAAAAGAGAAGGGCCCATTAGGCCCATTTGACCGACAGAATAAGTCTGACAAACAACTAAGGGAGTAATCAGATGGACCACACCACACTCGTGAGTACCATACACACCTTTATAGTCTCCACGTGGAACAGCAAAGCCCATTCAGTAACTATTGGTCCATAATAATAAAGGCATGCCCATCACATGCATCCACCAATCATTTACATGCATCCATGTACAGCATACACCAATGTGGGCCCCACATTACAAAATCCCACCTTCCTTCCCCTTATTTGAGTTGGGCTAAAATGCAACGTGTTTGGGCTTTAGTGGGCCTTTTATAAATGATTCCGAACTTAAGTTGGACAACTGGGCCAAGCCCATTTAATATTACAGGCCGCCCAAACATATGGGCTTTAGTCTTTATATTTTATTTACTTAGCACGTTTCCATTTAAACTAATTTATTAAATTTGATATTTAGTAGAAAATTCCTAATTTATACGAACTAGAAAAATTAAACAACATTTTAATGTTCAATTATTTTAAATTACAAAACCACCAGCTTTTAAGTAGATGAATACGTGTGTGAAAAGTGGTGTCGTTATATGTTCGTCGTTGACCTCGCTGGTTGTTGTCAACCATTGATTTTTTTTTGGAATATTCTTTTAAATAAAGTTGTATTTTTTTTTTTTTTTTTTTTTTTTTTTTTTTTTTTTTTTTTTTTTTTTT